CTCCTCTTCAAAATGCTCCTTTGTGAAAATTTGATGAATAAAATCAGGCCTTGCATTATCATGTTATCTACTAATGTATATGTTCTTCTGTCTAACATCACTATCTCTTATATATCGTTTGTTCAGATGATTCTCCATATCAATATTTAATTCACGCTTGTCATCATGCTTATAAACGTGATCTCTTTCGCATGAGCTATACAAGTAAAACATTCGAGCCTTATGTATTCTCGTCTCTTTATACGTATGTAAGTAAAATTACTAATTTTGAAATTACGTATATATAATTTATAAAGATTTTCAGTTTCAGTTTAAGTTTAACTTACATACAGCAACACACGCAAATGCTTGTGTATATTAATATAGACAGAGAAAGAAAAAAAGAAAAGAAAGAAAGAAAAAGAATGCAATGCACATTGCCAGTCTTAAATGATAGTAAATGCTGTAAATAGCTAAAGTTTGAACTGAGCAAACACTGCGCTCACCTCAAAAATGAACAAATTAAATTCGTGTTTGTTAGCAGCTAGTGGCTTTTAATGCTGAAAATGAAATAACGACTCAACTCACTGATAGCTATATTGTACGTAAATCCTACTCATTACGAATTACAATATTTGCGTTAAAAACTATCAAATCCTATGATTCACCACTCACCCACTCATTAATTAATTAAATTAATTAATCCATTTACTCAATCCTGCTTATATGCAACGCCATCTTTTATCATGCATACAGCGGTAAGCACTGAAAAAGAATTGAATATTTTTTTCATATTCAAATGCGACTTATTTTGATGCAGTATTATTTTTCTGATATGTTTTATTTTTTAATACATTTATTGAAATTATGAAAATATTATAAAATGTTATCAGATTGTACTTCTCAGCTTTTATTATGAAATTTCATAGCAGAAGTTAAACAATATTCTTTTTCAATCAACTTTACTTTTTGCTATCATTATTATCATGATTTTCAATTTACTGTGCCATAATGTTTTTCTAAATCGTGATTTTTATCACACATAGTCCTAAAAAACAATAATGTTAAGGTTTTTGTTTGATTATTTATTTTAAAAAGTTTATTCACTATTGAATTTCATTCACATACAAAATTTCATTGAGTGAAAAAGTCATGACTGTATTTAAGTTTGTCAAATGCTAAAACGTTCTTAAATAACACAAATTTTTATTTTTGTCATAATTTTTCCAAATCAGTGAATGGGATGCAAATTTTCGAGTCCGTGATGAATAACTAAAGGTGAATTCAAAATGCGGCCCAATACTTTATTTTTCAAACGTTACTGTCAATGTAGATTCATATACATGTTGTGGTAGTGCAAATGCCAGATAGAATACTAGAAAAATTTTCATCGAAACTTTTTTACAATCTTATCATCAAAATTTGCTTGGTTTGCTTGTAATTAGGGAGCATTATTAACACTTTGATAAAAATCGATTATTTAAAATGAAAATGATAGCAAACTCACATCTACATAAAGCATTCACTGACATACTTCAACATGAGTAGTCTTTTAGTTCTTGCTTTTTAAAGTTTACAGATGCTAATTAATTACCTTTCCCTTCAGAAAAACTGAAATTAAGCGCTAAATCAGTGAAAAAAGTTTGTTTGTATAATTCAATTCAAACAAACTTCAATGCAAAGAAAAAAACTGAAACAAACAAGCAGTGCGTACACGTCGTCACAAGTGCAAAAAATGTTGCTTACACATGAAACTCTATAAGGAATAAAGCGATGAAACAGCAAAGGTGTGAAGCGAAGGCAGTGAAGATTTAGTACGTGAAATGGTTTCTTTGAGATATATTATAACAATGATTGATTGCTTGACATCAAATTTGAGTGATAGAAAAGTTGAAAAATACGTCAGTTTTGAAGATTATTGCCAGTTTTTTAAGCTTACTTCTTTCATTCTCTTTCTTTTCGCTTTCTTGTTTGTTCCTGAAGTAGTGAGCAAAGAAAACTTGTTGAGAGAAAGTTGAAAGCTACTTCAATATGTCTTCTTGACAATTCTCACATGCTACTTATTACTTAGGCTAGCAATTGTATGTGTGCCATTTCATAAAGGTCCATCAACAACACTTCAAAAAAGTTGCTCACATGAACGCAAATAGCAAAATTGATTTGCTAGCAATTAGTCACATACCAGTCTATAAATTGCGAAAATGAAAAAATTTGAAAATAAAATAAGTATTAATTATTCAAATTAAAAAAAATAATTTTATAGGCATCAATGAAGAGAACTGATAGTGAATTGTAATTGAACATATCTTGTAAATTATAAAACTGATCAAAATGCAGTACAAGATTAGCAGCATTAGTAGCGTATTCGTAAGCAAAGTTTCGGATGGATTTGTTCCGAAATTATCATTTAGAAAATGATGAGAACAGACCATTGAGCGTATTTTTCATGCAAAAATTCTATATGTGATCAGTTTCAGTTTTCAAAAGAATTGCAACAAAAGTGTGCAAATGAAAGCTACTTCATGTCTAAAGAACTTATTACTGTTGAAATTTTAGCAGTGAAAATCTATTGACAGCATCATTGAATGAATATTTAAAATTATTTGTCTTCTCAAAGCTTACTTTTGGAATAAAAGTGAGACATAAATTTTGCTATACGATTTTGTATAACGAACGCCAAACAAATGAAGTTGTGAATGATTCTCTGAAGGTTTTGGTTATCATTTTATTTCGAAATGTTCACTGATCAATGCTTATCATTTAGCACTAAACAAGTTATTGATAAGCAATTGCGTTTATTGTTACAGTAATCAGTTTTTCAACAATTTATTGCAAATTAGGAAGGCACTCTTTTACTAGTCTAATTTTTAAGGAATGATGAATGAAGTCAAGTACTGAAGTTATTTTTTATGACGACTATAGATGACTATAGTCGTGAATAATTGCGCTCTTCATGATCAACGATTTTTCTATGCGACCTGAGAATTGGATTGTGATCCAATTCTCACGTGATTTCTCTCTCACGTGAGTTAATATTTAAACAGCAAAGGCAACATTAATATCTTGTCAATATGATGTTACAGCATGTAGACGAATTAATTTTTAGTGTTGAGAATTTGGTAAAAATATAATCTTCCGATAAAAGTAAAATCCAAACTCTGCAATGCACACTGTCATTTAATTATGATTTTTGAAATTATAATTAAGTGGTATACATATACATCACCGTCTAATATGTTATTTATGACCAAATCAATCTGATGACTGCAATTGCATACCGCAGATCGCTTCCAATACTAACTCTATTTTGCGCAGTTATATATAATGTATGTGCAACAGAAAGCATTTTACTTTACTTAACATAATTAACTAATGACTAATAATAGATAAATACATATAAAAATAATGAAGAAAGTGAAATTAATAAAGAAATAAGTTAGCACATCACAACTTGCTGAAGTCACGTACCATTACATTATAGCTAAACTAAAAATGACAAATACTATTAAATCTGTTTAAGTAAAAAATGAGCCATACACTACAACATTTGTTGACAGTAAGTTTAAGAAAAGTAATACAAAAGGAAATGTATACATACATTCGACACTGCATCTCCCAACACAGTCGATGGATTAGCAGTTCATAAAAAATGAAGTATTTGACCTAACAGATCACTTCAAGTACAATGAAATATATTTTCTTCAGGTTGAAAAAGCAGTAAACTGTAAGTTTAAAATTAAATTTGAAAGAGAAATGAAGACAGATTAGCAAACATAACTTTCTGAATTTGCATAGAAGAAAAGATTCAAGAAAAGCAAGCAAGTTTTGTTTACATTAACGACACTTGCTCGTGAAAACGTAAATACAATGAAATGTTCATGGGTTTCACTGTACAACTTTAGTCGCAATCCATTCTCAACTACTTGAAAACTAGAAATGTTACGACATTAGTTTACTGATGAATTCCACAAGTCATCTCTATTAATAGAACAAATTCCCAACTCAATGTACAGAAAATATACTTCAGGAATTTATGTTAAAAACTCAAGTTATTTACAGTTCTAGGGCGATGCTGGGAATGCAGAGGCCAGAACTATTCCAGTTACTCACAATGATCTAGCCTGTTTCCTGCAATTGTACTAAAATTTTCTTCTTCAGAAAAAAAATTACCCAAAAACCATAATTTTAGATGTATGCAAAAGTAAGCAGCTGCACTTTTCATCTGTCTAAAATCCTACCAAGTTTCCTACCACTGCAGATACGTAGATAAATGGATAACTCCACAAACTTCTAATTCATTTCATCATGTTTTTGTAGCTCCAATATTTATTAAATGCTTGACGTAAGAAATTTTAAGTTAAAAATTGAGTCTGGAGCAAATACTATATATTTATTTAGTATTTTCAAAGATACATCAAAGTCAAAAATCAATTGCTCTGCGAAAATTAAATCAAGTATAAAATACAGTTGCAATATAAATCCAACTGCAATCACTTAAGATTCCTTGCAACCAATTAGTTTCAAGATAAGAGTCATTTAGAAAGATAAATTCAAATAAATTACATTTCTGTAACGTAAAAAGCAAACGAAACTGACATGAAGAATTAGATGATAATTGCTAAAATAAATACCCGTATAAAATTTGAAACTTATGAAGATTTACTCAATATTATGAGGTAAGAAAGCAAAACAACTAACAACTGATTATGAAAAACATTTTAATAGAGCACTAACTATATAATTTGATGCAAATTCAAAAGTTATCAAACTTCAGCCTTTAAAAAATTTGAATGGATCAGTGTCTGCTACAGAACAAGAAACGTCTCTATAACAATGTCCACTTACACGACTCAAAGAGTAACAGTTTTAATATTTTAAAAAAATCCATTGCTGATAAGACAACAGCAAGAAATTGAAATCATTTTCACTATTGCTAAGAAAGTCTAAATCTCAAATAGAACACTGAATGAATAGTCTTCCAAAAATCGACATCAAGTGCTTTTATTTCAGTTCAAATTTGATTATATTTTGTTTGGTATCGTAAATAAAGATAAATCTAGCGGAGCATTATGTGTAGAATCAAAATCAACCATATATTTTGAACACAAAGTCCAAATCATAGCGTTTCTCTCTTCTTCCGTGAGCAGTTCAATGTTTTTTAGCAAGGAAATTTGAGGGTACTTTTTAGCCACCGTTATCCGTTCTAAATAAGTTGCTGCCAACCAACTATCTACTGCCGTTTCGGCAATTTCATTATCGACTAACTTAGGATAACGTGATCGAAGTAGTGATTTTAACAAATTATTAGCACGATTTGTTGGCAAACGTTCTTCATCTGTACCTTTAATTGTAACGATCATTTCATCTTGAGTACGTCTGATCAGTATAACCGGTCCTTGGTAAGATGCTAGCTGAAAAGTGAAAAAAAGTAAGTAAAAGAATTATTCAAGTTCAGTACGGAAGACGAGTTTTAACTAAGTAATAAATCCTGAACGTCAGCAAATTTAAATTAAGCAATAGTCAAATAAAAATTTCTCATCACATTTTGCTTCCTTCTTCTGTATTCTTGAAACAGAAGAGAGATCAAAGTGAACACCAATAAAAATAATTCTAAATATATTCCATCTTTGATTTACAGATACTGCACGAAATTAGTGCAGGCTTTAAAAATCCATTACAATGACAAAACAATTCAAGAAGAAAAGTAGTTTTTAATAAACATAATAATCCAGCAACAATGATTATTCACTAATCACTCAGAATTTTTATTTGAAAATTTAAGCCCACTGACTCTTGCTGCAAACTAATTCTTTCGACAGAAATGAAAGATATAAAGAAAAATAAAATTAAAGTTTACTGCACAACAATCTTATCAAAAACTTTATGTTTTAAGATAAAAAATACCAAACCTGTAGTGCGACAGGCAAATCAAAATACGTGCGGACAATAAACTCAACTAAAAATGCCCATGATTTTGGCATTTTCGCTTGGGCAAGAGGTAAAAGATCATCAAACGTGGCATCCAAGATTAATGCCTGAAAATAGATTATTCCCTGACAGATGATGGGATATGGAAGCAAATCAAATTCAGAAATAACTGAATTACTATTCAATCAAAGCATTAAAATTGAATAACATTTTATGCTCGTAATACTTCGACATTAACTAAAATTTTACATTGATATAAATGCGCTGGTCATATTGTACTACTCAAATTAATGTGTTTTTAAATCTAAAATCGAACAAGAATTTAACTTCACGAAGAAAAAAAACTACTAAAATGAAATAACGCTACGATAATTTCTACTTCTTGATTCATATTTTCTAATTTATAATTCTGAACTGATTTCCAGATCAAATTAAGAGTGCTGGACAAATAATTTTTATACTTTAATATTAGGATAGTTGGCAGCAGCCCAGGTAGCTGGAAATCCACCAATGGACCATGCATAGATAACAATCTGCTCTTCTGAGAAGCCCAACTTATGCAGTGCATATTGCATAACAGCATCAATTGATGAAGTCGTTTGCTCTGGTGTTGGCATACCATTACTTTGACCAAACCCTTAAGTAACCAAACAAATAACAAAAATATTCTGAAAATTCATTATATTTTCAATAAGTCTTATAATCGATGTTTTTAATATCAAAAAATATTAATTTATGCACAAAATAATTAGCCTGAGCCTGAGACACACTCAAATAACACTCACAGATTTTAATAAAAACATCGAATTAGGCCTCAAATCATGCAACTGATCTAGAAATAAGGAATAAGGGTTTGTAAACTTTTGAAATGCCTTCAAAACTATTCTGTATTGATTTAAAGCAATGAGTTGAAACTCGGAAAGTACGATAAAAGATTTAAATGACATGCATATAACGAATCTTGAAACTTCTGAAGAAAATTTTAGTGAAAAGTTTTTATTGCAATAACACTAACCAGGCTGATTCCATCCAAGTACTGAATAATTCAATGGAAGTGGTGTTAACAAAATACCAGTTTCGTAAAATCCAGCATTCCCTTCACATGTTATTACCAAAACATCACCATTTTTTTCGCTGTTCCGACGATCAAAAAACATGGTATCAACGATATTAGACTCAACTGTCATCAAAACGCCTCGAGTGCCATTCTTAATAATACAACCTAGTTCTGTTAGTCTCCATATTTAATGCTTCGTTTCATCAAAAATCAGCAAGAAATCATCTTCGACATATATAAAAATAGACTTCCTATCGAGGATATTAGTGACTAAATATAATAAGTTTGAAAACTATGATTTTAGATCAAACCCTATCCACTATATGTCTTCGTCGACTCTCTATCAGAAAGGATTCAATAAGTTTGTTCAGTAGCGCTGTGGAGCCAGGATAAATAAATACACGAGCAAAATTGTAAGCAATATTGTAAGATAAGCAATCTCGTACTGTCATGTATACGATGTTTGAATTATTTACATATTTACTTGGTGTTTTGAAAAATTTCCTCGGCTCCTTACGAGCACGAAAATCAACTGGTGCTGCGAATATCTAAAATTTGCTTATGATTTTCAGAAGTTTCGCAAAGCAAATCGTCCGACCATTACGATCACAACTTTAACTTCATACATAAGAAAAAAAATGTTAAAGATTATACTTCATAGTCATATTCTAATAAACGTATCCGTGCACTTTCATTATGAGAATGAGCGTCGCGAAGGATATTAATGAACCGACGATATTCTGGGTTCAAAACTCTTCCAGTTGTTCTTACACTTATCGCTAGCATATAATATGTCGCCGTAAACTTTATTAACATTATTAGATTGACCCCATTTAACAAGGATCGATTATAAGCAACCTGAAATGTGTGAAACTAACGAGTTATATTTTTTGCTTTTTATCTGAGAAATTTTATTTTTATTTCTTATGAATTTGTTGCATTTGATTAATTCAAATAAATTTATAACCAGAAACAAAAGTAAATCCATAAATGAGTAATAAATCAAAGCAAATAAATTTTTCTAAAAATATCAGTGGAAGGATACTGGAAATATTTTCCAGACTTAATCCTTGAAAGGAAACAATGACCATGAAAAGCAGAAAAACTAATCAACTAAAATCGCAGATATAAGAGATGAATAATTAACTAATGAGAAATCTAATTTCAAACAACTTTATATATAAGAGGCATAAGACACATTAACAGTACTACAGTTAATTGTAATTGTAAACAAGATAGAACTGTTTTCCTCGTCCCAAATCTTAAAATTAATAGATTTGAGTAGTTTTAAACAGATCATGAGAATCAAGACAGACCAAAAGAAGAAATGGCGAAACTACGGTAAAAATTGTACGACACCCATACATCACTCTCAGCATCGTATCACCAACAAATTCCAGAGAATTACTAGGAAAAACTGTATCATGTCCACGAATATATGAATATACCTTCGGACCTCTAATCAAGTTCAAAAGCGAGCTGCTCAATGTCATCCTCAAAAAAATCACAGGAATCTATCAACGTGAACGAAACTGAAACTAGCGCAATAACCACAGCAAATTAAATCAAACCTATTTACAACCTCGAAATGGATTCAACATCTAAACGAAGCACATTTAGTAACGAGACAATTAAGATGAAATGGACAGAACTTCGAGCTTTTAAACTAGAACCGAAAGAATAACCGAACTATCGTTTATACAAAACTGAACAACCCACAATAATAAAAAGCATAACTACTTCAACCCATTTTTAATTTCGAAATCAAATCACACGAGGATGAACGTGCAGTGTAACGTCATTAAACTTAGAAAAATCATTTATTTTTACAAAACAGAAAATTTTATAAAAGATGAATGATTCCTTATTGAATCTGTCACTATTTTATATCTTTTCACTGTTCCACAAAGTCCTTCGAGAAACGTTTTATTGCTGAATAGGTCTCTATTTTCGATGGCACACGCTTCATTCTTTACTTGCATATTTGATCCATCTTCTTTCATCTTAACATTATCCACTTTTTTCAATCCTGATTTCTTCGCCTGCTTCCTTCTTAGGTTTTTCAACATTACTTTCTTTAGTAAAGCATAACTTCAAATCATTCTCGTCCGTGTCACGATTCTTATCTTCTTTTTCTTTTTTTCTACTCTTTACTTTTTCTTTATGTCGCTGCCTAAAAAGTGAAACTGAAAATCGAAAAAATTTTCTAATGCAAAAAAATTTTAATACTGAAGCCATAATGAATACATTACAACATGACACCCTACTGCACAATCACTTTATTATAATGCAACAAGTCATATCAAAGTGTTCATGAGCTTAGGGCTCTATCGCATGAACATTCTTAAACATTTCGTATCTCACCAGAAATTTTTTCAATTAGAAACAGAAAAAGTATTAAAATTTTTCGAACCTTTTCAGACGTTTTTTAGCTGTCCTTTTTTCCTCGTCTTCAATTCGTTTAGCTCTTTGAGCTAAATAATTCGCATCTAATTCTTCTTGTAAGGCTTTTTGATTCATATAATCCAACCTGCCAATGCATTCATGTTATTGTGATTTGATTCTATGATGATAATTCTAAAAAATTCTTTTTCAATTAAAAAATTTGTGTTTACTGCGTAACGAAACGAAAGATTTAACATTGCGTTACTTATTCCATTAAAAACCACGCTCACTGCTTATTTATCATGGAAATAGTACCTGTCCATTTCACGCTTTCTATTATTTCTGAATATGTGAAATTCTGCACTTCCCGCTGCAGCTGAAGAACCGACTACATTACGGACAAAGTCAGGAGGTGGTCGCGGTTTTCGACCGTCTCGTCTTTGAGGTATGGATACTGGTTTTTCCTACAACTCGTAACTCTTTTTTGAATTACAAAACCCAAAAATTAAATAAAAAAACAAACACATTTCACAAGACACATGTAGCAGTTATGACTGCTTTAAAGTGATATAAATGAAGGGTATTACATTGCTAGCCACCAACCCACGAAATAAATGACGAATTGAAACAAATAACGAAAATTTACGATATTGTTTTGCAATCTTTGTAATCGCATTCGTATCAAATCATAAGCTGATCGAGCTTTTTGCTCTTCTTCTTGTTCTTTATCCTCCCGAGGCATCTGAAATCCGACACAATTCTCGAGTTACGTTTCCCGCTTATAATAATATGCTTTAAACAAAACTCTCAACTCTAACTTCGCCAATCTTTCATATATGTATATCTGAAAAAGTTGAATTTCATGGAAAAAATAATAGAATATTCTTCGCAGGTAAATATATCATGCGTACTCTGAAAATGCAATGAAGATAAATCCGTAAAACTTCTAATTATGAAAAGCTTCAAACAGTATTAAATTAGTTACAGTTTACCATATTACAAAAGCAATAAAAACACTGCTGTGTTTGAAAATTTATGCAAAGTATTGCTTATGTTAAGATTAAAGATTACTATTTCAGCGCCTCTAACAGTGCAGTAAAATAGAGGTTTAAACAAGCAGTTATCGATTGAAAATGTACGAAGCACAGGACATCATAAATAGTAATACTCAGTTAAATAAGGGATGGCAAGAAAAAAACAACCTTAAAATAGGGAAGTTGAACTTTAAACCTTAATGCATCAAGTAATGCCTTAATACATTAAGTAATATCCAAAGAATGCTGAAAATATGAAATGATGTCCTCCTTCGCATTTCATTCTTGAACCTATCACAAGTGCGTTTGGAGGTCAAGTTGCGACCATAAAGCATTCTTTGTACACTGTTACTTGCTCAGTTCTCTGCATGGGTAATCCAATTGTTTTTACAATTATAATTTAAAATGATTTCAGTTTGTTCGAACAAATCATGTCCGTTTGTGCATTTCGAAATCAGTGGAACAATTTGCTGTTGACTTCTCTAGAATAGTAGTTAAATAAAGTTCCGTTATGATGTTCAATCGAATTTGTAATTAATCAATTAACTAATTGTTAACTTACTGGTTAGTTGATTGGTTGTTTAATATCATCACTCATGATTGATATTTAGTTTCAAAGTTGTGGAAGGTGAAAATTTTTCTGAGACTGCAAGAAATAATTATAGTTATTTCAAAATTGATTGCAACCCTCAGTACGAAGCAATTGAGTTTCTGAATACGTTCGATGCGTGACACTTTTTTATATTTGTGAATTTTCATTGTATCGCTTTATTTTCGGTTGCAAATGATACAGATTTAATCCGTCATTTTCTAATTCCAAAGATTCGTACAAAAATGAGTCACAGACGATCAAAGCAAAGAAGAGAAGATTTAATGGTTTGCTTTTTGTAATTTGGTTTTGATTTCACCCTAGTGAGAACATCTGAAGTAATGAATATCAGGACTAATTGAATTTCACCAGCGATTACTTCTACTTCTTATTTCTGAAATACCTGACTAATGAAGACTGTCGGAGAAAGCACTAGTTTACTCACTGCTAACAACTGAAATCATCAAAACTATCATCACTTCTTAACTGCATTTTAATCGCATTTATATTTACGGACAAAACACTCAAATCACTTTTGTGTTGCTAAACATAGATAGGATTGACATGTTCCAGAAAATTTCTCATTGTTTTTTTCATGGGTCTGTATTGTTTGTAGAATTTCAGAATGAAGAATATGTTGTAGAGAAAATTCTTGACAGACGTGTTCGAAATGGTATTACTGAGTATTTCTTAAGTTGGAAAGGTTTCCCCTCTTCAGACAATACGTGGGAACCCGAGCAAAATCTTGATTGCCCAGATTTAATTCAGGTTACAATTTTAATATATAATTTTCTCAGATTGAGTTACTAGCATATTGAAATATCAAAAAAAATTTTTAAAAGTTGCTTTAGCACCAAGTTTAAGTCTTTGCAACTGTTCAGAAAAATTTGTTTCCTAGGCATTCGAAAACAAGCAGAGATTAGCAAGAGAACAAAAGAAGGCCAAGGTCATCGAGAAACCTGCTCGAGGTTTTGAACGAGGTGTGGCAGCTGATTTTCTAAAATATATTTTATCTGAGTGAAATATTGTATAATACTATATTCAAATTATTGGTCTATTCATTAGTGATCAGTCATTACTTTTACTGACATGTTTTTAGGCCTAGAAGCTGAAAGAATAATTGGTGCCACGAACTACAATGGTGAGTTAGAACTTTTAATTAAATGGAAAGGAAGTGATAAAGCTGATTTAGTTCCTGCAAAAATTGTAAACGAAAGATGCCCACAAATTGTCATAAAATTCTATGAAGAACATATCCGATGGAATTGATTATTTTAGCTAACATTATTGTCTCGTCTATTAAATATTTTATGTTTTATGAAACATATCGCAGTTTTCACTGAATGAACACATTGAATATTATAGAATGTAGGAAAGATATGATTAATTTGAGTTCAGATCATTCTCAATTTCGCTGCATAGAGGCTTCCAAAAAAAGCAGCCTGGTTACTGTGTTCTGCAAATTAGTAATATATGTGATGGTTGCTACTTCTTTTGTCTACTTTTTCAAAAGTTGTTCAAGGTTGTGAAATACTGAAAGGAACATGCTTTATCACTGCATGCATTCTGTAATTTTTTGTAGCATGATTTACTTTATAAATAATACCCTCTTTTGTGATGGGATTCTGAGATCGAGAAATTTTAGTCATCAATTCAGTTTTAATTCTAGAAATATTTCCTCATTGCCTACTTTAAAGCATTTAATATTATGTCGTTCATATGTTCGCAAAATAGCTGATAATTTTGTTTGCTGGAAATTAGTACTTGACGTAAATGTATAGATCTCTAGTGAGCAGATTATAATTTATTCTTTGCGTACTGCTCAATGATGGTTCTTTTGAACATTTTGTGGTTTTTAGTTGTGAAATAAAATGGATCAAGTGTGCCAGAACTTAATGCAATTCATGTCATAAGGTTTCAGCACATTTATCTTCAAGAGGGATTTTATGCTCATGAGAGTCAAATAGAGGATTTTTATTATTAATAGTAAATATAATATCTATTAATTACTATAATCGCAGAGACTGACACAACTGCAATAAGTAGATGCAGTGTGTTGCTTTATGATGGGAGTTCTTTCGTCAATTTTTCATCTCATTTTTAACTTTGTAGCGACTATTGATGGATTGCATTATGTAACGCTGAAATTGCAGAATCCTTTACTGGAAATGGTTTCAAAGTTGCTTGCTGCCATTATATCTCATTGAAAAGGGTTTAAGTGACAAAATATATCAATTTATTAGTTGTGCTGCGAAAAAACGAGGAAGCTTTAGAATTAGCAGAAGCATACACACTCTTACTGCTCTTTGCACTATGTAGGATGTAGAAGCTTGTATGCTCATTCTATGATTCATATTGCAATGAAATTGAAATGGAAATGGTTTTGATATTAGTGCTGTGTAAATTACTTCTTGGATACGACTGACACAAAAACAAAACTTCGCATTAATATGAAAAGGATGGGAAAGAAACTGATAAATAACACAATTCAACACAGTGAATAATAAGAATAAAATGCAAATAGTTTTCATCGGACTCCATACACACAGTAAATCCAAGGATCACATAAGTTGAATCAAAGTAACGAAAATAAACAATCTTGAGAAGATCTTTTAATTAAATGAACTTATGAAGTTTACCCGTCACTGAGTGCTTGCATTCACTGCTGCACAGAAAAACACCATTTATCTTGGAAACAAGTGGTTCGCTGAAGAGTATCTCGAGTGTTCACTTGAAAATTCCTTTCTATTTGCTTTCATGCATTTTGAATCATTCCTGCAATCCTTGAATTTATCATAAGCCTCCTTAAGATTCTGCAGTATACACTTTATCTTATGCTGTGCACGCATTTGTCTCGCCGAGCAATTTCTTCCCTCTTTTTTGTTATAATAATAAAAAAATTTTGTTTGTGGTTGGTCACATTTAAAACGTAATTTGCAGTATACCAATAAATATATATTCATAAATTGCAGTACATCATCGCGAAATATAAATTTTATCGCAATGCAAATTTCAGGACGATTATACAAGTTATTACAGGCAAGCAATGTGAAACAAAAACTGTTAATTTGTTAATTCTGAGCTTAAAAATTAACTTCAGCTATATTTCATAACTCCATGCTACTCACAACATATCGAAACAAGTTAAATGTATTTATCAGCAACAAAAAATTAAAGTAATGCGTAATGCGGGAAAATTTCCGACAACGTATGCAAAAGAATTTTCTGAATTTGATTATTCATAGGCAGTTTTCTCTGCGAACATACACAAAAAATTGACTCAATCAAAGAATCAGTGCACATGCGATTTCAGAAATAAACGCTACTTTTTAAAATGCATAATATCCGAACGAAAAGCAACCTAAATATAGTAGCCAAAAAAAAATCCTAATTAACATAAATATGCATAGCAACGCCTAGAAAATTAGGACATTACTTCAATGCAAAAAAAAACTAAGTATTGCAGCAAAGCGTTTCACAGAGCTGGATTCCGATTCATTCTTCACGTCAAATCTCCTCTATACTTTATTATTCTTCCTTTATTAGGGAAGGATCATACCAAGCCGCAACTGATCAGCAGTGTAGTTATCCCTCACTTGGGTGCGCAAAGATGGATCTTCAGAAGTTATGATCCTGAAAAAAATACCACATACTGAACACGCATAATATTATCATTTTTCCCACTTTTAAATTTATGAGAGGAAATGGATTTAGACACTGTTTTTCATCTTTTCTAACTTCCATTTAAATTGATCCAGAATTTCTTCCACACTTTTAACGTGGAAAACTTTCCGATGCAGACTTAATGCAGTTTTAACTTGCGGGTACTGGTATAGCAATTGCTTTACCTATTCTGTAATTGACAGAAAATATGACACAAACTAATTTCTTTTTGATTTCTAAAGCAAATATTTGATTTGATTGAATACAATAACTTTTTACCAACACATTCTTTCAAAAATATTTACACGACTAATTTTCGTACTTCCTGCTTCAATTCCTCCCAGTTCTCAATCTCTAACCAATTGAAGCAGCCAGCATTTCGGAGATTCCGCAAGCTCGGGCCGCTGCTCTTCCTCTTACATCTCTTTTTCAGGCCTTTCGTCTGGAAGAGCGGCCTAAGCCGTCTTCACCGATAACTGTTTCAAACAATACTGGCTGCTCCTCATTTTGACGATATTATTCATTATCTTCGTACAACGCTAATCGCTGACGAAACCTTTGTTATCTCTATAAGATCTGTATGTAATAATGATAATCAATACTCTGCTCTACTGAAATTTATTCATAATAGATGTGATAAGCATACTAACGGTTGGACGCTTTTTGAAAAGCAAATCTCGTATTTCAACGTTTAAGTCAACTCCCTTTTGACACAAATACGATCTAATTGTGATTCTAAAAATTCGATCACTACTTTCCTAAGCGTGTTTATTGTGTGGAATCGATAGAAAAATGACATAAGAAACCTGCTAGAAATACGAGCTTAAGCTAGAGCTTAAAACATGTGAAATCAAATAAATTACATAAAAAGTTTTAAAATTTAACTGCATTGTTTCTATAACGTATTTTTGGAGAGCAAGGTACAGACGAGATTTGCTTCTCAAAAAGCGTAGTAGCGCAAATATGTGGGTGTAACTAATCTAGAAATATTATTTGATTTAATCAAATACAATAATGAAATGTACTTTTAAACGCAAACACGTTTATATTTTCGCTAAATATTCAAAAGTCATGATTTTTGAAAGAAAAAAATTCAATGAAACGTCCTAATACAATTTATAGAGCTTCATCACCGAACAATTCGAAACCACACCAACTTCTCAACAATTTTAAGCTTCAGATACATATTGAAATGAGCTCCCGAATTAGTAGAAGCCCTCCCTTTTGACACAAATACGATCTAATTGTGATTCTAAAAATTCGATCACTACTTTCCTAAGCGTGTTTATTGTGTGGAATCGATAGAAAAATGACATAAGAAACCTGCTAGATTCCATACAAAGGCGATAAAACCCGTGTGCTAATGTTTCTAAAATTGCGGCTCAAAGCAACCGCAGCATTACCCTTCATGTGTCTGAAAAACTGCCGAGTTATACCTTCCGAATAACAAGAAAGCATCTCCTATTTTTATAAAAAAGAAGCATTATGATCTGAAATTTCTGACCATACACTTGAATTACTTAAAGAGTACGACCAAGGAAATGTTAATGTTAACCTTGAGATACTTTCAGGTAGCAACTTTAGATGGTGGAACTCCGCTCAATATAACATGATATGCCAGACCAGGAAAGAAATACAGCAACTGGTTTGGCATAATTTTCTTGTCTTCATAATCATGAAGAATCCTGTCTTGTGAGGCACAATTTCTCGCCTACAACAAATAACAATACATTACATAGGAAAACAGTTGTTGAAAAGAACTCCAAACTTTACTAGCATAAAAACTATTTTCAACTGAATGATAGTGATTATTACCTCAAGGACAGGACACTAATAATCACGCCTGAATGGCGTTACAGCCATTCGGCAGAACATCCTGGAAAACCACTATAAAATCAAACCCCTCTGCTTCAAATTAATAGAGGGGTTTCCGATCGTGAAGACAATGGAGCGGCACGTAGCACTGGCAGATTTCCTGCCTACAAAAATTTATACTTTAACCAATGCAGCAGTTACCTCGATAAAATTTTAACTCGCAAGCTTGCCAGCTAAATATGTCACTTTTTATCTTCTTTTTATTCAACAACATATATGTAAACTGATTTCTGCGCAAGATAAAATAATAAATGACGTATTATCTTAAATAGAGCACACGTCTAGTCTGCTTACGAAACCAACTTCACCTTACCTATCTCAAATAGAAAGCAGTGAGCGATATATCTTGATGAACAAGGGCAGAAAATTGAGTGCAAATAACGCATATGGTGAGTTTGGTCAAATTCATTGCCAAGGATGGCTTACTGTGCAAGTGACAAAAGTTTCCAGAGTTACCAATTCACACACATACTATAATTTTCACTGAGAGTGTATATATGAATGAATGAAAGTGACCAAAATTGCAGCAATAACGTGCTTTCATAAAATCATTTTCGCATGGCGCTATCTCAGAAGGCACTCTTGTATAGCGAAATAGGTAAGAAAACCCACCATGCAAAGCTATACAAGATGCGGACGAATAAAATCTCGTCCACAGTTGATTCATCAAAATGGCTACGATACGGAAACATTACCCCGCAGGATGAGGCATGGCACGATACTGTTATCTACAAGATAGAAATATGTTTG